AATGTCAACATTTCTAATCCTGTTTTCTATGTTATATATCTATATCTATCCTTGTCTAACGAGAGGCATCTGTCTTTGTTTGATTGCTGCGCCATCTCTCGCTACACGCAATACTGCTTATCCTATCAACCTGAATGTGCTTTTGCTTAATAAAACTTCATTTTACAAAATCTTTTTTTCTAGACGTTGAATCTTAGTTTTATTTACACGATATTGTTCCTACATGTTGTCCCTACGTCGCCTTGGTGACATTATATATATATATATATAAACTGCAGTAATTTTGTTATTGTCGTCAGATGACAGTTGTACATACATATGTGCTCAAATTAGTAAAATTTTTAATTTTTTTTGTTTCCGATATGAAATCGTATAACGCGATGTAGATTTTTGTGCGTACTTTAATTCTAGACCAAAAACTTGCAATTCTGTAAAGCCAATTCAAAGATTCCTTAAAATGAAAAAATGTCGGTAACTACCACCACTATAGGATTCCCTTAATAGGCCAGTCAAATTAGACGAAAAAAAGGCTTCTGGTATGAAAGTGATGCAAACTTTTTTATTCCTTTTTAGGCGTGTTGGGGGTGTTTAGAAAAGCTTACTTGTGAGTTGTCGTATCATGAGACCCAGAGCTTTTTGAGGGGGGGAGGGGGAACCAATTTTTGACGAATCGGAACGAGTCACCGCTCATTTTCTTCGTTTTTTCAAGCCCTACAACTTTCTCAGAAGCGAAAAAATGCTATCTATTAATCAAAACGAGATAAATGCAAAAAACCGCGAAAATTTTATTTTTCGGGAGAACCAAAATTTTCGTTTTTTCGCAATAACTCGGTGAATGTTGATAAAGAATGAATGACTAACCCCTCATTTTGCAGCTGAGGGGTTAGTCATTCATTTTTTATCAACATTTGCCGAGTTCTTGCGAAAAAACGAAAATTTTGGTTCCCCCGAACAATAAAAATTTGGCGGTTTTTTGCATTTATCTCGTTTCGATTAATAGATAGCACTTTTTCGCTTCTAAGAAAGTTGTAGGGCTTGAAAAAACGAAGAAAATGAGCGGTGACTCGTTTCGATTCGTCAAAAATTGGTTCCCCCTCCCCCCCCTCAAAAAGCTCTTGGTCTCATGATACGACAACTCAAAAATAAGCTTTTCTAAACACCCCCAACACGCCTAAAAAGGAATAAAAAAGTTTGCATCACTCATACCAGAATGTCTAATTCGTCTTTCGACTGGCCTATAAGGCAAACGTGTTTTCGGAGGTCAAAAGTGAAATTTCTTGTGCGTCGAAAATTTTTAATATTTTAAATATTATTTTCTCTCCAAATCTCGAGATAAGTGATTCTGAAGAGTAATGCATGCTGAACACGAATCCAGTGAAGTTTTTTTATTTTCGTTGATTTCTAATATTTTATGAGCAATCAAACTTAACCCTCAAGGTACGGACTATAAAAAAGTTACGTTCCGTACGGACATGGGTTAACCTAACCCGGCGACTTTGATTGACTGTACATCGGGCTGTAATTTGTCAATTAAAACAAATTTTTTTTCTTTAGATCGAAAATTTTCTCAAAAATACAATGGCGTTGATAGATTTATTACATTATTTGTTTAAACAAAGATATATTTAAAAATGTAAACCGTTCTCAAAAAATTTTCATAAAAATTCATTTTTTCTTTTAAATTCCATAACTTTATGAAAAAAAAAATATCGACATTTTTTAAATCGCATTTGAAAGCTAAAAAGTTGTTCTTTGAAATGGCTGAATTCGTTTTTTGATCCATTCCAAAAAGTATTTTTTTTTTGAACTATGAAAATACCCGTTTTTTTGCGATATAGCGATATAACGTTACTTGCTTGATTTATCGTAATAACGCAAAAAAAAATATCTTAAAGTAAAAATAGTTCTTTTGGATGTTGTTGATTACTATAATATAAATAAATAACAAAAATTGAAATAATATTAACATGCATGCACGGATACGTTATGCTGGTATGCTACAGAGCATCATTTTGAGGTTAGAATGCACAAAAGTATATTAAAAATAGTAAATTATACATACCAGAATACAAAAAAAAAACTCCTACTGCAGCAAATACTCGAAAAACACAATTTTTTTTTTGAAAAACACGGATTTTGTAACGTTCCGTACGGACTGGGTGTAGACTAGCCGAGTTCAATTTTCAAAATCGTATAACTTGAGCACCAAGCGTAGACTGACGCTGCCCCTTGGCGCTCACATAGTAGCTACCTCAAAGATTTCCCTCCCCCCGGTACGCGGACCCCCACCATTCACTTCCTTTGAAATGGCGCTACTTTCAAAATTCGCTCGGGTTACGCTAACCCAGTCCGTACCCTGAGGGTTAAAATCTGTGTCTGGGGCAAGTCGTCACCAAGCCATCGGGGCGGACTCGTCACTGTGACGATTTTATCCCGGTGGTTTCGCTCTATTTTTCGTTGTAAATGCGTCATTGTATTTCTCAATTGCAAGAAAATGGTACGCACGTACGGCACGTACCATCGCAAAACGACTCCTGTCGACAAGCAGAAAGGCAGTTCTTGCGGTGAAAAAAAAAATAAAATTAAGACAAAGTAAGACGAAAAGTAGCCGCAAAACAATTTGGAGTTCCGAGAATTTACGTTGAACAACTGGCTGAAGAAAAATAATGATGAAATAGCACACTTGGATGACGTGGCCGTGCGATATCATGGAGGCTTCGGGCGAAAATCGATGGAAGCAGCAATAGTCGGATTCTAACGAGGACTTGGATAATAGGTGCGGCGTGTGCTCAGAGATGACAGAGAACAAAGCTGACGAGAAACTGTGCGTTTCGTGCGAGCGTAGGGTACATAAGTACGTGCGCTTTTCTTGTAATTATTTTCCGCCATCGTGTTTTTAATTAATGTTTCCATTTTTCTATTAAAAAATAATTAATGAAATGTATTCCATCATTTTTCATGATCAAAATTATGAATTTTTATTTAAAATCCAGTCCGAGAATGGAGTGACGACTCCGCCCCGGAAATTTTGTCTTTTAATTTTTGCACCTTTGTCGTTTTTACTCTATACCGGTTGAACAAAGCGACATAGACCAAAAATGCCCTTATAAATTTTGTAGCCAAAAGTTCACTCTTTACAACGGTATACCACATTTTACTAAAAAATTATGTTTTGTTGTTAAAAATCGGCACCGGAAAAATAGTGATGACTTCGCCCTGGTCTCCCCTATCACGAAAATCAAAAATTTATATAAGAACGCTTGTATTTTATTTCTTTATCAAAGAATTAATTAATAAGGATTAACAAAGGATTAACACGTTATAAATGCCGATTTGCACTTTATAATAACAGCAATTGCAACAATTATAATACAATACTGCAGTTACAGTCCAGTTAGTGCCTTGCTAAAATGCAGAATAATTATACTTAATATTATCCAGAGCATTGCACATTTCATTACACTTATATTAGAGTGCTTACATTTGATGTCAAAGTACAAGCCATTTGTTACATAGACCTATTTTGTATTAAAATAGCTATAAATAAATAAAGGATTGGAATGTTGCAGTATATGAGCAATTGTATGGCGCAGCATATAATATGTCAATATAAAAATAAATAATACGTATTAAGGCTCCTGGGTACTCGTCGCGGTCATATTGGAATGTGCCGTCAGAAGCGAGAAATGACACGTTGAAAATTCTTGCGTAGTATTTCCAAATAAAAAGATATTTGCTTAAAATAACACTACAGATCACTTCAACACACTTCGAAAATACTCCGAGTTGAGTTTAAGTCTACCCCTTTCCCTGTTAACCCTTCACCTGCAAAGGTGGGTCGTTTTCGTCCGGACAAAAATTCAAATGTAGTTGTAACTTTTGCAAACGCGTAAAGATGGCGCCACTGCGCATCCGTAAAAAAAGTTATGCTCCCCGAGAACCCGCCTACCGAGTTTCAAGGCGCCAGACCCCTTCCAGCCGTCACAGGAGACACGTAATTCTTGAAAAAACGAGGTTTGCGGCGAACACTTAAGCACTTCATTTAAAAATAATTGCATGCAATATTTTTTTATGGAAGGTACGCTTTTCCCCTTCAATTTCCTTTTTTATTCATTTCGATATCTTTATTTGTCTTAAAGTTATGATTTTTTGAGTAAAAAATGATTTTACCAGTTGTAGTTGTAGTTGCTCCATTTTTTAAATACAAATTATGTGAAAAAATTAAATTGTTTATAATTTTATGATTGATACTTCAAATTGAAGGTTTAAATTACCTCCATGAATTTTTTCAGATTTTTTGTAACACTTTAACACTTAAAAAAAAACGTCAGGACGAAAACGACCCAGGTTTGCGGCGTAAAGGTGCCAAAAAAACGTTTGCAGGCGAAGGATTAATAAACAGCCTTAAAACGAATGTGATACGATGCAGGCTTGTGCGCAGGCGCATGACTAGATTTCGTATTACATTCATTTTAAGCAAATATCTTTTTATTTGGAAATACTACGCAAGAATTCTCAACATTTCTCGCTTCTGACGTCACATCTCATGAGATGTCGGGAAAGAGCCCAGGAGCCTTAAAATTAACATATAAAAACATCTAAAAGGGATACCGCATATTTTAAATAAAAAATGGCTATCGGTTAATTTTAAAATTGAAATATATTCTTATCTTTCTGATAAAAAGTATAAATAGACACAACCTCTTAAAATCAATAATTCTTAATATTTTAAGACTTTTGAAACTCTGTGGTGACTAAATTATTAATTTTAAAAAGTTGTATCCATGAGACACTTTTTATTAGAAAGATAAAGACAGTAACATATTTCAATTTCAGCAAAATTAATCGAAAGCTATTTTTCATTAAAAATGTGCGGGGTCCTTTTAACACATAAAAATATTTAACACATATAAAAAAAATTGCACATAAAAAATTTATCACACTTTATAACAGCAAAATTAACACACGTTGAGTCTAATGAGATCACAAAAACTATTGATGTTAATAACATCGACATTAATAATATCGTGTTAATACGTTAATTTACGTCAAGCCATGTTGTGTTATTTATCTTTGTAGCATTTTGTTATACTACTATAAATATGTTTAAAGATTGTCATAATCAACGTTTCCCGTTCTTACTGCTTCTATGAATTTTGCGAACTTTTCATACGGGCATCTGTGTTTTAGAATAAACGGCTGGTCCTTCATACCATCTACCCATTCCATCTGAAACAGAGTGAACAATGATCAATAAATAATTATTTTTCTTGAATGTGAATGTAAGAAATCTATTACAAATCCAAGTGCAACTTTGCGCCACATAGTTAAATTACAATTCAAATAGATCTAATTAAAAAGATGTAAGATCTCTTGTTAAGGTTTATCGACGTTATCCAGATAATTACCGAGTTTTAAGATTATTACAACTCATGAAAACGAATTAATAACACGCATAAATACATTAACAATTTAATTTAATATAAATAAGATAATAATATTCAATATTTCATTATATGTGTGTATGTGTGTGTGTGTGTGTGTGCGTGTGTGCGCGTGTAGGTGTGTGTGTGTGTGTGTGTGTGTGTACAATGTCAATGGGTTAAAATAAGTTTTTAGAAAATGTGTCTATATGAACAAGTTTTCAAAAATTTCAGAATTTTAAAGAGTTAGCAAGTTTGAAAAAAGTTGAATGTTACTGGATACACTTTATTATTTTGCTTACAATACGAGGAAACCTCTCCTTATCAAGACTTGCACGTTGCTTGTAAAGTAGAGTCAGAGCCTTTGCACGTTCAAACCAAGGCCATATTAGAATGTCTAGCATACCTGGATTACTGCCTAAAACAAAAGATAAGAAAACAATTCTTGTGATAAAAATATGATTTATTAATAATATTAGAAGGAAGAATACATAAAGAGAGAAACGGGAAATAGGATAGATGGGGAGAATACGATTTCCGAGGCGCCCAGATTTGACTGTGGTTTCTGGTAGTATTTTTTACGCTGAACAAAAAATGATATAGGTCTTATAGGACTAACTGCTCTAGTTTTCGAGATATGCAATATTAGTTAAAGAAAAAAAATAATTATTCAGTTTACACCCCTATGATGTATCACTTGAATTTTAATGAATATAAGTATGTATTAAATCTTCGCCTTACTAAACAGATGAGTCTACAATATACTAAAAATATTAATACTGAAAAGATTAGCGAGGCCCTGTACGCAAGGTAGGACATTCCATTCGAAATGATATTCTTTCAGCGTATAGATTAATGACGCGCTTTAAAAGTATTTAAGTGTTTAAAGCGCGTCAACTAAACTATGTAGGGCACACATGTGTGTGTCCTGCTTTAACGAAAATCACAACTTCTATAAAGCAAGGCATACACACGTGTGTGCCCTGCTTTAAGGTTGTATGACCCCTTAGAAGAAAAAATGCCAAATTCTTCAAACTTTGTCAGGTGATGAGTATTATAATAATAAAGCATTGTGCCAAGTTTGAACAAGTTTGCGAGGCCCGTTCAAAAGTTATAACAATTTGAATTTAACATGGGCTCTTATGGGAATTCATCAAGTTTCACTGTTTTTTCAACTTCATTTGAGAAATTAATATCGAAGAAAATATGGCATCCTTTTAAAACTTTGCAGAAATATTAATAAACATCTTACAAACAAATTAGAACAAAAAAAATTATGACTTCGTGGATATTTTTTGAAATATTAAATAAAAACCAAACAGAGAACAGTCTCGCTTGGTCTCGCTGAACTCGTAAGTACAGAGATCCGGCAACAGCGCACTATGACGTCACATTAGAACCTCTCTCTCCGTCACTCTCCGTAAAAGATAACAAATACTACAGAGGTCCGTTACTTTTAGAGCCTCTTGTGTATCGAAAGTGTGCTCTGAGCACGTGTAATATACAGACGCATTGTTTGAGGTTAGTTTTCGCTTGCGCTACGAAAATGCCGAAAGTAAAACGTTACATGTGGAAAGGAAAAGTTGTCACTAAAAAAGTGTACAATCAACGGTTAGCACAGACAAATACTGGGAAACGTAATTTGAAGACACGAGTCGAAACCACGCCAGATGATTGTAACAATTCCATGGCACATGTAACGTTTTACTTTTGGCATTTTCGTAGCGCAAGCGAAAACTAACCTCAAACGTTGCGTCTGTATATTACACGTGCTCAGAGCACACACATCGCGTTCACGCAGCTGATGTCGAGTGAGATCAATGCTACCAACTTACAGAAAATGCGACGTTGTTGCGATCAAAATACTTTTTTATGAGAGCTATTGTATTTAATTTATTAATAAATGACGTAAATAAATAACGTAATATAATTTCATTAGTATTTTTAAACAGTAATTACTATGTTTTGTTACTTTTTAAAGATTTTCACACTTTCAGATTTTCGTTTGTGTCAGTTGCAAGTCAGGTACAGTCTTTCTAAAAATCATTAAAAGTGAAAGTTTGCATTCGAGAAAATATGCATAAAAATGTTTCTATAGCTCTTAAAAACACAGGCAACCGTTATTTTAATAAAATATTAATATAAATATTACTTTCCAGTAAAGAATATCTTCTTAAATATGTTAATTAGCTTTATGTTACGTTTCTTAAACTTTTGGCAGAGATCTTACGGGTCATACAACCTTAACGAAAATCACAACTTCTATAAAGCAAGGCATACACACGTGTGTGTGTGTGTCCTGCTTTAACAAAAATCATTAAACAGTTAAATACTTTTAAAGCGTGTTACTCTGATCTACATAGGTTAGTTGACGCGCTTTAAACACTTAAATACTCAAAGAATTTATGTGTTAGAAAGTATAAATATAAAATACGATAATATATTATATCTAATAATTAAAAAAAGTAAAGATTTATATTATATTTATTTTGAGCTTTAATACTGCATATCTCGAAAACTAGAACAGTTAGCTCTATAAGACCTATATAATTTTTTGTTCAGCGTAAAAAATACTACCAGAAACCACAGTCAAATCTGGGCGCCTCGGAAATCGTACTCGTCCCGGGTGGATTTGTACAAACCTCCGAAAAAGGTTGTCTTGCGTATATTAAGCTCGTCTTCAAATTCTTGTAGGTCGTTCGTTACCTCAGTGAGAATCTCTTCAAACTGTCTCTTGTCCTTGCCAAATATACAATTCGCAAAAGTGTCCATAATCTATAAAGAAAACGAACGCAATTATTAAGCAACCACTGGAAAAAAGATTAGATTTCGACGAGGTTACAAGCACCTTAGAGAAGTGATTTAACAACTCTAAATCACGGCTTTTTGTCTCATCGTTGTACAAAGATGGCTCGGGGTATTTCTCCTCCAGGTAGTTCGTTAACGCAATAGAGTCCGTTACTAGTGTACCGTCTGAATCTATATAAGCTGGTACCTTGCCATCCGGGTGAATCTAAAAAATATTTCCATTACACATAACACTGGTAACAAGATCTGCACATTTGAAAACAGTCAAAAACTCCCAGACAACATGCATATCTCAAATCGGGACATATAACGTCTTAATAACGTCTTTAAGACGTTTTATGTCCCAATTTTAGACATGTTCACTGCCCAGGTAGCAAGATGACGTTTAAACACGTCTTAATGATGTTAGAACCATCATTAAGACAGAATTAATACGTCATTTAACCTTATTCTGCTACCTGGGTGGGCTCTTTCAATTCAAAATATATTAGACTGCTGTATACTTGAAGAAACCACTGCGGCTTGTTCTGCAAGTTGATATTAACGATATCGTGCGGGACCTGCTTCAGACTGAGCACGAGGCGTATTCGATGAGCGAAAGGGCAATATGCCATGCTGTACAAACGTCCCTGACCCTCCACTTCCGCTGGCTTTTCGGAGCCTGAAACAGAAGTCAGTTTTCTCACAAAAGACTCGACGTGACGTGGAGTCTTCACCGGTGACACTGTGCGACATACATATGACAGACATTTATACCGGCTTCTCGTAAGCGTATATCTTGGTACATCCTTTCTAAAGCAACCTCCTCTCGAGATAGACTCGGCTGTCGCATTACTTACCATCTGCCAAATGCGGGGAACTCATCTGGACAATCCTTCTGTGAACAAATAGTCTTGTATGCGGGATCGTTAAGATGCGGCGTAGACGCTAATCCTGATGACAAGCACACAATGACAAGTGTTGACAGCTCTTATTACAGAGAGTTCCTCGTTCCTCATATAAGAATGTTGACATCACCTGGACGACTTTTGATTGGTGCTTTGATCCGCCATATATGTTTTAGACTAACTACGAGGGAAACTTGAATTATTATTGATAAATGTATTTATAATATACTTAAATAATAAATTATTTTCTTTAAGATTATCAACTATTAAATAAAAATAAAGATATTAAGAAACAATAAAGAGGTGTTTAGTTATTTTATTTTCAATTTTAAACATAAAACCTTATGTGTTGAATTGTAATACGTATGTTTTTATTGCATATACAATTATATATTTATACAAAAAAGTATAAACATAGCATGACATAAATAAATGTACATGAGAAGATGGGAAAAGAGAAATAGATTATTTATTAAAATTAAAAACCAATAATAATAAGGTGCCTCAAATTATATAGTTGCACGAGATGGTATAATTAAGGCTGCGGTCAACTTGACGCTACAAATGCTTCGAAACATTCCTCGTCTCCTTTCTTTCAACAAAGAAAAAAGGAGAAGAAGAACGCTTCAAAGTATTTGTAGCGTCAAGTTGACCGTAGCCTAAGATATATGTTATACTGGACCGATTATCAAATTGGTTCTAGTACCAAATGGATTCTTTGCAGAATCATCAAATTATTTAACAGAGCGACTCTCGGGAACGAAAAATTTTGATATTGATTTTTGAATTTTAATCTTCTGAATCATTATTATATATGAGGTTTGTTTTTTATAATATTGTCATATAAAAATGTATGAAACAGGTTTAAAACTTTTTTATTAATGTAATAATATAAATACTCATAATAATATAAATTTTTTACTCATAAACT